AGAGAATTCTCCATACCCCTGGCTCACTCCTGCATGAAATTCAGATACAGAGTATACAAATACAACATATAACAGATATCATAACAGAACAGAGCATATATCCATATCATATCAGAGATGTGCGCCGTCATTCCCAAGGGAGGACCCCAAGCGGAAATCAACGCACGTGTTCCCGAGGGAGGACCCCAAAGCGGAACCAGACATATCAGAGGAGTACACCATCAGTCCCGAGGGAGGACCCCAAAGCGGACGTCCGGGTACTATACAATCAATGGCCAGAGATTGTTACAGAAATCATATTACAGAAGTCATATCAGAGCAAAACATATCATGTTATCAAATAACTCTATATGAATGCATCTATACAAAGCATCTAAATCACAGTCATACAGTCCAACCATAGTTCACTAACCATGGTGGAGCACTCAAGCAGGAAAAGACTCCTTAAACATAGAGCTTACCTCTTGAAGCTTTACCAATACGCTTACTTGTGGAACAAGTTACTTTTATCGCTTCAAGAGATTTCCGATCCTTCTCAATCCCTAGGCACACCTAGAGAATAATTTACAATGCATCAATAAAATGATGCAATACCATAATTATTTCATAAGCATACATTTTATCGCTTATTTTCCTTTCTTTGCATTTTTGCCAATCCTATGCCAATACACAAGTCTAGACCTCATTATAACCGTTGGTGTTCTTTAATTTAATCAACCATTCCCTTAGGAATTTTCAACATAAATCGTGCTATTTTTCTTCAAAACTCATCACCTTTATACAATTTATTACAACACATTTTATTTAAAATAAAATGTACAAAATATATCCCTAACTACCCTATAGGTCGAACACTACAAGGACATAGGCAAAGGTTCTTTTTCTTCACTTACATGTAACTTACACAAACAAATACATGTTTTCATAAGGTTCCAACTTAATTTTTGGAGCATAAAGTCCCTCCAAAGCCCCACAAGGCCTAAACCTAAGGGCATATTTCATATAATTTTTCCCACTTTGGCATTCTCACTAATTTATCAAATTTCCACTTAATTCCTACACATTAAACCTTCCTAATACTTAAGATAAAATTTTGCACAACAACCTACTCTTCATCTATGATGGCCGAACATGTAGAGGAAATCATAGGATTTTTTTCTAATTTTTTTACATACATACAAATGCTTATTTTCATTTTATACATCAAAATATCAATTATTCCTCATCAATACATATTTTAACACATCATGCTTTTCCACCCAAGGCATATACACAATTTTATAACTTAAATAATCAAAACAACATCATGGAAATAGAGGTTTGTTACCTCAAATCAACTACCCAAAGCCTAGAAGACCTACACCAAGAGAATCTCCATCAAAAACTTCATTTTGCCCTCTTGATGAATAGTACACGAATTTGGGGAAGGAAATATCTCCTCACACAACCAATGATAGCTCAAATAAATGGGTGGGATGGACTCATTGGGTGGTTTCCCATCGATTTCAAGTAGTGGGACTTGTGATTTGGTTAACTTTGGAGTGAGAATCAAAGAAATGAAGAACCAAACCCTACCCCCCCTTTTCACCAAGTGCAGCTCGGCTTCTTTGAGGAAGAGAGGAGAGAGAGCTGATTTTGAATAGTGCTCATTTGAGTCACTTAAGCTTTTAAGCACATGTGGCCCTTTTACCCGGTTGTTTTTCTATCGCGTATTTTTACTTAATTGACCCGGAACTTAACTTAAAGCTACAGGTATATTTTTATTTTTCTAAAGTCATTCAAATTAATTTTTATTTCCTAAGTAACAATATTCATAATTCACAGTATGGTTTTTGCACCGTTTTTGACGAAATGCACTGTGCATCACTAATTGTACTTCCTTTACTTACGAAACTTAAAACTTATAAACTTATCATTTTCTTGGGCCTATATTGACTTGCTTGGCATATATTGGACTTTCTTATTCTTATTTCATCAATTATTTATTTCTGGACTCTACCGGTTGCTTAAACAGCAGTACAAAATACCCGGTAGAAACACTATTCACGAGATTTTCACGGAAAGTGCCAGACTATACAATTTTTCGTTCTGAACTCATATTTGTCATCAGAATTTTCAAATTATGTTCCTAAAATTATTTTGCTCATTTTAAGCTCTACCGGTTAATTCACAAAACTGTAAATTCTCCGGTAGAACGCACTGTTCATAACATAGTCATGATTACAGTCAAAATACTCGAAATCGCTCACTGAATCTAATTATGGCATTTAAATCCTTAAATTAAATCTCTAACTAAGATTTACCAGTTAGGGTCATTATAGTAATAAGAAAGAGACCTCACCCCATTTTTCAACCAATGCTTTTGTTGTGTCCCCAAAATGTTTTGGTCAATATTGGATAAGATCTTTGTTGAAGGGTAGAAATTCTATTGATGAGATATTCTCAAGAGGGACACATCAGCCATGTCCACCCCGCGTGCTTGCTTTCTTGTTATTTACACTTCCTAATATGATAATGTCAAATTACCTCATTTCCATACGTTTATTTCATGAGTCTTTCTTTTCTTTGTTTAACCTTTGCAATAGTCCTAATAGACTGATTAACATGACTTGTGCCAATGTCTAGTGCTTATACAAGGAACTCACCTCTACTTTTAATTTTGTTTTTCATTCTCGGTAGTGGTTGAAAGGTTTATCAAATGGTAAAGAATATAGGAAAACCAAAAATTATCTGACCCTCATTAATAATTCCTTTGGGTTTTCTTTTATAAAATGATTTACGCAAAAAAATATATCCTACTTAGGAATAATGAAAGTTAAATTAAAAGACACACTAGTTCACAACATGCAAAGGATATAAGAGCAAATACCCGTATACAAGACTTGTTAGTTTGTAATATTAGGGGTGAGAGTTAATCGTACTCTGTCATACCTTTGTATTTCGCAAGAAAAGAAAACTATTTTTTAGATTCAAACCCGGTCACAAAAAATAACTTTACCGCTAGATCAAGTCTCGGAGGCAAAGGATACATATATTTAGATAATAATCAAGCTTGCAAATGAAAATCACTATTCGGTAACTTACTTTCTGATGGACTAGTTTGAACTATTTGGTTTTTAATAGAACAGAATGACGTTGACTTATGTAACCGACACCATCTAATAATAGAAAACTTTAGTTGTTGTGTGAGTAAATATACTTTTTGTTCATCATAAATTTTACGATACCCGTTTTAGTCCTTAGCAAATAAAAAAATTATTCGTAGTTCTTAATAAATTCAAAATGGACTCATTTAGTTAAAATTGTAGTTCCTCATAAATTTAAAAAAGACGCACATTAGTCCATCAAAAAAAGAACTAAAATGAGTCTATTTTAAAAATTTTAAGAACCGCGAATAGCTTTTTTATTTACTAGGGATTAAAGCGGGTATCGTAAAATTTACTGATGACCGAAAATGATATTTACTCTTGTTGTGTTGTTAGTTTTTATAGTGGTTGTCGTGTGAGATCTTAATTTGTTAATTAAGTTTCTATTTCTCTATTTGTCTAATGAAATGAAGAATAAATCTAAAAGTTTTGTGGTAATAAGACATATTATATTTACAATCTTTTTTTGCTTATAATCTCTTACAATTAAATCTTAATCATTAATTTCCGTTAATCTAATGGTTATAATTTATTGAGTCACGTTTATTAATTAATTATTAATTTTCAATAAATTACAATCATAAAATTAAAGGAAATCAACGATTAAAATTTAATTATAAAAAATTATAAATAAAAATAGATTGTAAATATAAATGAAATTCAACCCAACAAGAGAAATAGGGGAGAGCGATAAAGTCCAGTAAGGAAAACCTCCCAAGTAGAAGTATTGTATCACACGGCTTAATTTCTCACAGAATAGTATAACTTTTCTCCTTGAAACACAATTTATTTGTGACAAAATATTAATTTATGGTATCTATTATTAATACATGTAGACATATGAAAATTCTTGTCATGACATCAAAGCATTGATTGATTAGGCCCAAAAAATAATTTTCTTTCTTTCTTTTTTGGTTCTAGGAGTTGAAACTTTTAGGTCGGTCACTAAATTTAGGTTCACAAGCACAAACAATTTCAACTGCTTTTAGTGGCCGGTGGGTTTGGGAGAATATTACTCAAAAACCCTAAACAATATTTTGTTGTTAAATCAAAGTTAATGCTATTTGTACGCTTTTTTTTTTTCAAACCTCCAATCCAATCTCATATATTTTTCCTACTAATTATATACATACATATTTTTATTTTTATTTTTATTTTTTGCTAAGAATAAAATTTAGGGTTAGAGTGCATGAGATATAGTATAACCTATAAATAAGGTAAGATTTGAGCAAGCAGAATTTCTCCTAAAAGAAAATGTGAAAAATTGACAACCTACCATTTAATTTTCATGGATGCTTTGTTCTATATTGGAAACGTGTGGCTGTGTAATGTGTAGCTAAGTTGTAATTTCAAAAAAAGAAAAGAAAAAAAGTCAATTACAATAAACTTTTCCCAAAATATTCCAATGGAATGTGTAAGCCCATTATTATTTTGGTTGAATATTTGTCTTGGGATAAGATTTGGATTGTAGAACTAAACTATCCCTTTAACCATTTTTTCATAGAATATAATTGATTGTCCAAAGACTATATGATAATTTATTTTATTACAAGTAGCACAACAACATTTTTAATGGTACCATGAGCTCTGTCTCTGCAAGAACAAAGCAAAAGCACTTTGCTTCAGTTTGGTCTGAATAATTACTTCAACATCTTTATGAACAGTAAAATCTCTTTTTGCATTGGTTCAACTTCCTACTTCTACCATCATCGATGCCAACCCTTTTCCATTATACTGTGAAAAACAATTAATCATCTAAGGGACTTTTATTGGCATCTTAGAGTTTACCTTTGATATTCCAAGTTGAAAAAAAAAAAATAAAGAAATTTCTGGGATATCCCTTTCTCGTGTTATCTTCTGCAAATGGTCTTGTGATCACTTTATAACTATATTCTTCGACTATTAGCTTTTCTTTGAAGTGCCTATTACCTTTTCTGGTTAGCTTTGTGAGAGCAATTATGGCTGTTTCCTTTCTCATACTATTTCCTTGATATTATAAATTATGATTACACCAACCCACATAACCAACCTCAAGGACACCACACCCTTCTTTTTCTTTATTGTGCTCCTGTGATCCTTATCATATTTAATTAGTTGGTGTTCTACAATAGGACTTTGCAGATACTTCAATCCCTTAATTTACTTTTAGTCTCTTGTGTTGTCTTCATGTGTATGCTTTTTTACATTTCTTGCATGTGAATATTTTGGTTCCCTTATACTCCCTTTCTCGGTTGTCCATGGTCATTACAATTTCCATTTAACTTTCTTCTGCTGTATCAGCTTTCTATATTCCTCACATAGGTCCAGCTTCTTCTTTTGGAGAGTTACTATACTCTTGTGCTGTATTAGTTCTTCCTTTTCACCTTTGCAATCATTAGTTTCAGTGTGAGATTGTGTTGATTTGGTTTGTTCTTCTTAGTGTTATTATCTGTTTTTTTTGTTAAAGTTGTTTAAGTCTTTCAAATCACTAGTCTTTAGTGTTTCAATTTTCTCAATGCCTCCTACAAATTTTCCTCTTCGTTGGGAGAGCACTGGGGACCAATGGTGGTTTGCATCACCTATAGATTGGGCTGCTGCTAATGGCCACTTTGACTTGGTTCGTGAACTGCTTAGACTTGACAGCAACCACCTTTTCAAGCTAACTTCCCTACGCCGAATCCGGCGCCTTGAAGTTGTGTGGGATGATGAAGAACAGTTTAATGATGTTGCAAAGTTTCGTGCTCAGGTGGCACAGAAGCTTCTTGTAGAATGTGAATCCAAGAGAGGGAAGAACTCTCTTATCCGTGCAGGCTATGGTGGATGGCTAATGTATACTGCAGCCTCAGCTGGGGACCTGGGTTTTGTTCAAGTACTTCTTGAGAGAAACCCTCTTCTAGTTTTTGGTGAAGGAGAGTATGGTGTTACTGATATACTTTATGCTGCTGCAAGGAGCAAGAATTGTGAGGTTTTTAGGCTGCTATTTGATTTTGCTGTTTCTCCAAGGTTTCTCACAGGCAAAGGTGGGATTATGGAAGAGCATATTGGGGACATTCCTTCTGTTTATAAGTGGGAGATGACCAATAGGGCTGTTCATGCTGCTGCTAGAGGAGGTAATCTTAAGATTTTGGAGGAGCTTCTTGCTAATTGCTCCGATATTTTGGCTTATAGAGATGCTCAGGGCTCAACTATCTTACATTCAGCTGCAGGCAGAGGGCAGGTTGAGGTAATCGTCTGTTCATTTTGTTTCTCTTTTTATGTTTCATTTTTATGGTCCAAATGTTTGGTGCCACTACTATTCTTCACCTTTGGAATATGCATATTTAAACTTTTTATAAGTTTATAAAAAGGATAGGGATAAAAGGGAAAATCACGGTATACAAGACTCCCCTATTTGCAAAAGTAAGGGTGAGGGTCGATTGTACACAGCCTTACCCTTGCGATTTTGCAAAGCGACTATTTTCTAGACTCGAACCCATGATCTTTCGGTCACAAGGAGCAACCTTACCACTGCTCCATAGCTTACATAAAGGAACTGGATAATGTTTTATAATTAGTTGTAGGGGCATTTTACAAGTTTTTTACATATAATGTTTTATTTGGTGTTGATTGAACATAGATGATTTGGATACATGCAATGAAAAAAGCACCTCATAGAATATTTGGTATGGAATATCAAATAGCAATAGAATAAATCTAATCTTAAGTAGGATCCTTATTGTTATTGAGCATCCCACATTATGGTTACATATGTTGTTTCATTGCTTTATTCATGTTATTTGTTCTGGTTGTTTGACATTATATCTGAAATATTCTTGGCCCTCATGCAGGTGGTTAAATATCTTGCATCATCTTTTGACATGATCAACTCCACAGACCACAAGGGTAACACTGCTTTGCATGTGGCTGCTTCCAGAGGCCAATTAGCTGCAGCTGAAGCTCTAGTCTCTTCATTTCCCACACTGATCTCTCTGAGAAACAATGCTGGAGAAACTTTTCTCCATAAGGCTGTGTCTGGTTTTCAGACTCCTGCATTCAGAAGATTGGACAGACAAGTTGAGCTTTTGAGGAAGTTACTAAGTGGGAAGAACTTTCATGTAGAAGATATTATCAATGTCAAGAACAATGATGGAAGAACTGCTCTTCACATGGCCATCATAGGAAACATTCACACTGATCTTGTGCAACTCCTAATGACTGCTCCATTAATAAATGTGAATATCTGTGATGCTCATGGCATGACCCCACTTGATTACCTTAGGCAACAACCCAACTCAGCATCATCAGATATACTAATTAAAAAGTTGATCTCAGCTGGAGGAATGTTTGGTTGTCAAGGTTATAATTCAAGAAAAGCCATAGCTTCACACTTGAGAATGCAAAGCATTGGAAGCAGTCCTGGGGCATCATTTAGAATCTCAGACACTGAAATATTTTTGTACACAGGCATTGAGAATGTATCAGATGCTAGTGCTGATCATGTAAGTGCAGGAATGAGTTCATCTTCATCAGAACATATTCCATATGACTCAACCACTGACAACCATATGTCAACCACAAGCAAAAGGCCAAGTTCTGTGAACTATGCAGCAGCAAGGTTGAAAAGAGTGCTTCAGTGGCCTAGGGTGAAGGACAAGAAAATTGAAGGATTCAAGAAATCTATAGATGAGGGTTCAGTGGACTCATCAAGGAAATGGAATAATAACAACTGTGATGAAACTCCAACCCCACTTAGACAAAGATTTTCTAGGCCATGTTCACTTCCTAACAACAAAAGAACTCTTTCAGTTAGGAGTCACCAATCAAGTCCAAATGCCAAGAAGAGATTTGCTTCAGGACTAGTCCATGGAGTTATGCAATCTGTGCCACAAGTAAAGGTTTCAGGCAGATCCAGGTCTAGTTCCTTTTCAAAGTCATCAATTTCTTCACCTAGATCAATAGATAAGCAAAAGGGTGTTTACATTGACAATGAAATTGCTGGACCATCTTGCACAAATCAACTACCTGATGATGATGGATCACCAAAATTGGCAAAGAGAAATTCTGTTAGTAAGAAATTGAGGGGCAATTATTTCTGTTTTGGTGCACCTGGCCTTAATGTCAAAACCTCAGTTCATAGGAGGCAAGAAAGTCAAAGTTACAAGGCTCATGTTGTTGCAGTGGCTTAATTGGATGAGCTCAGCTAATTCCTTAGTTGTAAGTTTTTATAGATTATATTTTGTTACTTAAGACTAGTTCATCCTCAAAGAGGTGATTAAAACGTCATGGTTTAAATACGAGAAACAACCTCTTTGAAAATATATAAGGATAAGACTGTATACAAGGATTGTTCTTACCTTACCCTCATTAGTCAGGGTTTAATAAGGAGTGGTTTTAAGATTAGCTCATCCTCAACTCAACTTGTTAATGGAAAACTCATGTGATAAAATATGTTTCTTATCATATTGGCATTAAATTAGCACAATTTGGTGCCTAGTAATGTGAGAATTAGCTTTGCCAATGCACTTATCAAACCTTCTTGTCTGGGATCTGTACTTTGTTAGATGACTGACAGAAAGGAAATAATATTCTTTCGGCTAATAATACAATAGTGCTTTTAACAAATGTTAAGCATGTTTAGAGTTTGCTTGGTAAGAGTGATAGAGGGGGGAATCAAGAGAAATGAATAGAGTTGATAATATCCAAAAAAAAGAATACATCATATTTCAACTTCCTCTTTTATTTTTTCATAACCCCACCAATGTTATATTAAATATATCCTATTTCAGTGTATATCATGACTTGGATTATGATTGATAACGTTTGTTTTGTAGATGTATTAACAGAACTGAAGTGTTTTTTGTGTGAAGCGTGTTCTTAATTGATCCAAAAAATTTGTTTATTTTGTCATAAATAATAATTGCAAGACATTAGACATGCATTGCAAGGGCGTAGTTATAATTTTTTTCTTTTTTATTGCTGGCCTCACTGTAAAATATTTAAAGAGAAATAAATTTATAAATATTTGCAAGTCTCGAAATTCTTCATATTTAATCAATGTAATATTTTTATAGCTTAAAGAATAATCTTAATTAAGGAAGCCAAATTCACCATTTGCTACATTCAGCAAGCTAAACTTAAAAAGATTTATATTAATAATATCTAAGGACACAAAGTCTTTGTTCCATCTTATTTGTTTTTCTTAATAAAGACACATCTATGTATCAAAAAAAAAAAAAAAAGAGAAAAAAAAAAGACAGATCTATTATTTGATGAACAAAATCGAGTAAAATTGAATTACATTTTGAAGTTGCTAATGAAGTACATGATTAGGTTTCCTTAATTTTATCTGCGTTTTGATCATATGCCCCCTGAAAGAAGCCTCGTATTCTTAGTAAGGCTAAAAACCTTGGTTTTCGTTGATTAAAATGATTTAAGGAGGTGTTTGGCTGCCGCTTTTTAAAAGAAACCTATGCAAATGTAAGAAGGATTTTTGAAATGAGATGTTTGGTTTAGGGTGATTTAGTGAGAAAGCTATCCATCCAATTTGCATGGGTTTTTAGATTTTGGAACGGAATGATAGGTTTATTTACTATTGAGAAAGCGTTTTGGGAGGTGAGTTTTTGTTAAAAAGCTGGGTAATCTCAATGTTCACTCAAATTTTTCACTATATATTACCTCCAACCAAACATACATTTCCTAAAAGTTACCTAATTTTCTCAGTAAAGTTTTTTCCCACCAAACTACTTTTTTTAACATTTTCCTATCTATCTCACTTTATCTCACTTTCTTACCATTTTCCTATCAATTCTATTTCTCTAGTATTCAAAAAATTTCTTCTGCGGTTCAGAAGTGAAATGAGTCAAGTAAATGATTTAAGGTTCAGAAGAGAAATTGTTAAATAAATAGACAGATCTCGCGGGCCATGCTTCACTTCATCGAACCCAAAAGCCCAACACCAATGGACCTAGGAGAGGAGATAGCCCAAGTACCACTTTTGACTATGTAACGGGCTTTTTTTTCGTGACTTATCCAAACACACACATGAAGCACTTTCATTTTGGAAAGAAAAAAAAAACAGCTTTTTGGAGAAAAAATTGATAATCGAAACAGCCTTTAGAAGCGCAAGCTTTCATAAATTTATGGATCAATTTTGCTGATTTTATATTTGGTTGATTGTTAATTATTACTGAAAATTTTACAAAACTAACATTTATGAGTGTGAGAGAACCCACCTTCCAATCTTTTAATTTCACTATTCATTTCCCCTCTTTAATAAGTAAAAATCTCTCTCTCTCTCACACACACAACAATTACGGTGCCACTTGTTAAAGCTATGTGAAGCAGAGGAACTCATGTCTACCGAGGAAGAGAACCCGCCAGAGTGAAGTGAACGTCGACGAGAAGCGGTGGGAAGCAGAGGAACCAAAGCGGCGTGAAGCAAACATCTACCAAGGAAATATCGATTTTGTGAAGCATTCTATCATGGCTAGGGCTAACAATAGAGGGTATTTTAGTTATGAAAATGTTAGAGCATAGTTATTTATGTCCTATAAGTTATGTAAAAAAATTTTACTGGGTGGGAATCCAAGAATATCACCTACCTGGTGGTATTATTTATTGGGATTCTCCTTCACAATTTTAATTCCTGAGAACCTCATTTTTCCAGAAATTTTTTAAAAATCCTACCAAATGTGGGTAACTAGGATTCTCAATGTGAGTTTTCTGGGAATATAAAATATTTTCTTTCATAAAACTAAAATGAAGATTACATGATAAATAAATAAATAAAAGATAATAAGGGGGTTTGGATCTCATTTAATTCAAAATAATTTAATTCATAGTCTCTTTTCAGAGACTTAACTAAGCCTATTAGGGAGTCCATGGTCTGGCGTACATCAAGTCAAGCCTAGCCTAAAGCATTTCGTAAAATAGAATAAGCTTGAACATTTTAAAAAGCCTCTTTAGAAAATAAGTCATAAGCTTATTTTCATAGGGTTTAGCCTATAAGTCTATTGTATCATTTATTTTAATAAAATAAATAAAAATGTATTTCAATAATTTTATTTATTTTTTCTAATTCTTAATAGATATAGAAGACTAGATAGAGTTAGATAAACTAAAAGACCTATGCAAGACCTTCTTATTTATTTGTTTTTTTTTGTATACTGATTATAATTATCTTTTTGAGGCAAGTCGTCCCCCAGGTATCTCTGCAAGCTTCAACTTAGTGGCGGACCTAGGAAAAAAATTTATGTCTGCCCATTTAGAGTGGGGGTTCGGGGGCAGCGCCCCCAAAGATTTTTTTTTAAAGAAAAATTTAAATGTATTAAAAAATATATAAACAAGAAAATAAAAGAATTATAAGGGTTGGTTCGGTTAGGTTCATGTTAGTTAACATTCCGATTTAAATATGTGATTTTATGATTTTACGATTTTTTTTAATCAAAACGATTTCATCAAAATTTCAAGCACTTTTACGATTTTATGATTTTTTACGATTTTTTTTATGTTAAGATTTTACGTTTTATGATTTTTTATCTTCCTTCCGATTTTATGTAAGATCCCGATTTTAACTACCATGGTTGGGCCTATGTTTATTTTTTCTTTTCAATCTTCCTAAATCTTTTTTCTTTTTTGACCTAAATCACCCACCCTTTAACAAAAAAAATCTCAAACTTGTGTCTGCAAGTGCAGACAGCGGCAACTGTGTGTGTCTGCCACTGCTTCAACTCTGAGCTGGCTGTGTGACTAATCCCGAGTAGGAGTTTAGTCATAGTTAAAGCTCTTCGCCCCTCTAAAAATGTGTATTTGGTGGAAATCGAACATAAGTTCTCTCCCCACCGACTCAACCTGTGTTGTCAACTGAGCTAAACCTATTGGATCATGTCAGACCTAAAATTTAGTCTACACGATGCTCATAAGTCAACCTGTGTTGTCAACTGAGCTAAACCTATTGGAACATAAGTCCATGGTCTGGCGTACATCAAGTCAAGCCTATTAGCGATGCTTTTAAATCATTCAAGAGACTAGCCAAGTTTATTCAAAATGAACAATCTTCAAATATTGTTTCAATTAGAACTGATCATGGTGGAGAATTTGAAAATCAAGATTTTGAAATCTTTTGTGAAAAAAAATGGTATTGAACATAATTTTTCCGCTCCTAGGACTCCACAACAAAATGGAATTGGAGAAAGGAAAAATCGTGTATTGGAAGAACTTGCTAGAAACATGTTAAATGAAAATGATCTTCCAAAATATTTTTGGGCGGAAGTCGTTGGCACCACTTGTTATGTTATGAACCGTGCTTTAATTAGACCTATTTTGAAGAAAATCCCCTATGAACTTTACAAAGGAAGAAAACCCAATATTTCGTATTTTCATGTATTTGGTTGAAAATGTTTTGTTTTAAACAATGGAAAAGAAAACCTTGACAAATTTGACTCTAAAGTCGATGAAGGCATATTTCTAGGGTATTCACTTACAAGTAGAGCTTATAGAGTCTATAATAAGAGAACAATGGTCATTGAAGAGTCTATTCATGTTGTATTCAATGAGACTAACAATGCCTTGCCTAGAAAAGAACCTTGTGATGATGATCTTATAGAAAGCATGGAAAACATAAACTTGGATGGCAAAGAGGAAGATGAAAGGCAAAATAAAAAGGAAGCAAATAATGAAGAAACACCAAGTCAACAAATCAATGATGGAAACAATCTACCACAAGATTGGAGAGTAGCTAGATGACATCCCATTAATGTGGTAATTGGTGATATATCCAAAGGGGTAACTACTAGAAACTCAATTAGCAATATTTGTAATCACTTAACATTTGTTTCTCAAATTGAGCCTAAGACCATAAATGAAGCAATTATTGATGAACATTGGTTCTTGGCAATGCAAGAAGAACTAAATCAATTTGAAAGAAATCAAGTTTGGGAACTTGTGCCAAAACCAAATGATTATCCAATAATTGGAACCAAATGGGTCTTTAGGAATAAGCTTGATAAAAATGGCATAATTACTAGAAATAAAGCTAGACTTGTTGCTAAAAGTTATAATCAAGAGGAAGGTATTGATTATGATGAAACTTATGCTCCCGTTGCTAGATTAGAAGCTATTAGATTATTACTTGCATTTGCATGTATAATGGATTTTAAACTTTTTCAAATGGATGTTAAAAGTGCATTTCTAAATGGATACATTCAAGAAGAAGTGTATGTTGATCAACCTCCCGGTTTTGAAGATCATGATTTACCTAACGATGTTTTTAAACTCAAAAAGGCTTTATATGGTTGGAAACAAGCTCCAAGAGCTTGATATGAAAGACCAAGCAAATTTCTTTTAGAAAAAAGTTTTTCAAGAGGAAAAGTGGACACAACTCTCTTTATAAAGAAGAAAAATGATCATCTATTATTTGCACA